ACACCTCTAAACATATTCTGGTAACACCACTTGTGAGGAAAAACCGTGTATTCTACACGGTTATCTCAACACATGGTCTGCCAAACAGCTCCTAAATCTCCACCTCCACAGTGCTTAGGGACGTTGGCAGACTTCCGGTATGTGCCCTATTGTTAGCGGATGCACGGATATCTCCAGATATTTACAAATGCCAGCCCTTGTGATGCGCATGTCTGGGACAGGTGGAGAAGTGGAAGGGACAGAACCTCTCGACAAGTTTCAAAGCCTTGAGAGTATTATAGTTCCCGATGGTGGGCAATTCCATATAGCAAGGTATATTCCCAAAGATTTATGCTAGTGAGATTACTTGCACGCTGAGAATTAATATTCTTCGATTATCCCGCTGTTTTCCTTCTAGCGCATCAGTATCATCACAAACCTCGAATTCACAGCACATTTCCTCCTCACATCACCCCGATCATATGGTTTTCTCAAGCGCCCCTCATCCAAATAATTCCGCATCGAAAAAAAGCATTTCTTCCTCCCCCTATCCCGATAACCCGGCTGGACATGGCTGTTTACATGAGGACATAAGCTTACATCCCCACTTTTCCCTACAACCCGCACCCGGGGGTCGTTCATGCACCCACTCATCGAAGGACCCCGGGCGGCGATCCGGCCGAGTTGTGGGGCGCCGTGGTCCAGTTGGTCAATGGGTTCCCGAGTCGCACTCGGTTTGGCCTCAGGACATATGGGCATCTACTGTGATGGGGGTGGTCGACGCTAAGTCTGAGGGATCTGCAAGCGGTTATGAAGTAAGTGTGGGATGTTGTGCACGATTCCGGAAGTGAGGCATGCAATGGATTGTTCGGGAGCGATATGGATTTTTCCGGAGCTCCAGGGACTTGCGCTGTGGCTTCTCTGGATCTGTCTTTCTTCTGGTATTAGGGTAGTGTACAGAGGAACATGGACTCGTACGGAGGAAGAAAGATGTGCGTAGTGATGCGTGAGAGGATAGGAAGGCTTCGTTTCCGTTTCACATATTGATATTGTTTGTCGTTAATTTAGAGCTAGCGAAGACAAGACAACGCTGTTTCTGATCATACCCGCGTCCTGCACGCCTGACCCAACACACACCTATATCGCCTATCGTACCGCTGTGCTATTTGTCAGTCGCCGCCTCGCCGAACCTCTTCCCCCGTGACAAGTGCGAGACGGCTATCTCTAAGCTCGGTTCGACGGGCCGGGAACCCATCTGACCGGTTCGCGGGCATGTCGGACGGGACGCATTGACGGTTCGCCTGCGGAGTTCTACGAGATTATGCCTCTCCAGGGCGGGGTGAGGACGAACGTCAATGGAACGGGTAAGCGCCAGACTGCCAAGATATTGCACGGATACCCTAAACATGCCAGCCTTGTGCGACTTTCGATACTGCTTGTCCTGAGTCAACCTTTTCTGCATTTTCGCAACAAACCTTTCGGATACCATCGGCCGGCAAATATACCGTCGACAAAGTGAAACCTTTGCAAAGAATTACTTCACCTTTGACTCATTATACAATGGTGAGGAAAAATTCAAAGAATAAACTAAAATGGAGAAAGATAAATCTGATCGATGGTTAGATCTTTAATTTTCTTTGCAGTTAGAAAAACCTCCTGTGTGTTGGTCTACCCTTGCTTCAAAGTGGTGGGGTTTGGGTGGAAAATTGTGCCAAGAATTCCGTGGAAATTGCTAAAACCTTCGCAAAAGGTCTTCGAAAATTGTGAAAAAAAGTAGAAAAATATCTAGAGGCTTCAGGTTATTTCTAATCATTTTCTTGCAAATTCTTTAAAATTAATTGGGTTATTTGAGGAATGAATAGACAGAAAATAGACCTCTATGATTTTGCTGTTCGTTGCTGTGTGAAACCTTTTGGATGGTACTTGTATATTTCCCGGGGGATGGTATCCGAAAGGTTGGTCGCTGGGTGCATGGTATTGAAAAGGTTTTCTCTGCTTGTCCTGCTTCCATTGGGAATACCCCCAGATGCGTCCGTCGCCCTTGTTCGTGCTGACCCAAGTAGGCAGTTTTTCATGGCCCCCACGAAATTAGAGGTGAAGTAGTATAAGATCGCTACGACAGACACGTTGTGCCATTTTTTCTCCGCAGCCCCAATGGTCTGCACCAGCTCGGGCTCCGGGTGTCTGACTGATATTTTGGGTATGATAAGATGATGAGCTGCTTCCGCTATGAAGAGAGGGCCGCCCTTTATCAGGAAAAGAAGGTGCGAAGAGGCGAAGGCTTCTAGTGATGGGCTCGAAAACACTATTCGTGTATCATCACAATTTAGTGGGCTCAAGTTTGTATTCGCAAAGACTTCAGCTGGTGGGGTACCTATACCGTGCTTGTACTCGAGTGCCGGTATTCCAAAACGCGTGTCTGCCAATGGGATGCAATTTCAGGGTTGTTGTCGACTTATTGTCTCATCTATCCTGCCGCGTACAAGTACCGGTAACGAGACAGGCAGCAAATGCCAGCCCCGGCCGTAACTGCCGCCAGAGTGATACGAACCAACAGGCGGGAAAATTCCCGGATCAACTAGAACTGGAAGCCACACTATCGGGTGGTAGTGGGGTCTGGTTTCCCTTTTCTGCCCCATCTTCCCCACCCCAGCTGCCAGTGCTTCCGGATTCCGGAAAGTGAATTTCCATCCTCGTTACTGCCCGGAGACGCTGTCGTTCTCGTATCATGCCCATCCTGTGCCCTTGTAAGAAATCTTTCGGCTCTATCAAATTCGAATAGCCCGTGATAGGAGTAAATCCAATAGCTGCGCCAAAATCACGGATCTATCCATCCCAATATCGAACCTGGGTCCTCCGCTACCCATTCTACCCGTACCCACGCACCACCACTCGCCCCGCATCGCACGGAACGATTTGGAACTATCATACATACGGTACCCCGGCTGGTGACAAAGCGGCTGTCTTTCCTGTTCCGGATCCTATAGCGACATATAGTGGGGTCCCCTGCCCGACCTTCGAAAACGCCCCCACTATCAGTTGAATGCGCAAGCATCTAATAAATCGGTGGCTTTCCTTCCCCCCAATATCCCTGATTTCCAAAATCATTAGCGCAAACCTAATAATCTTCCCAGAAAAACGAAGGCCAAGAACAGTGGAAACTTCAGCGGGAATTTTGGGGATAACAATGTCTTTGGTAATAATAATAATAATTGTAACACAAACACGAGAAACCTGAATACCATCATCAAGCTTGGTCAAATATTTCAAGGGTGTGTGCCTAGGGTGTGTGCCTAGAGCCGAGGACAGAGGTATTACCAACTTTCCCGAGAGACTTCCGGTAAAGATCTAATGAGCGATTACAACCAGAAGAAGCATCCAGGCCCTATCAGATAATTCCCTATTGCAGGAACAGCAAGTTTACTGGCCGTGAGGATCTCATTGGTTGATAAAGAGGGTTTCCACGCGTGAAGGCCACAACCTGATCGCACTTCATGGACTCGCCGGCTCTGGGTATGTATCATATTCATTATTGTTACCAGTATTTCGGCGCCTTACTAAAGTTACTCGGAAAAACTCAGATTGCCCTGGAATACGTTTATCAGCGCGCAAGAAAGGAAGATCGTGATATTTTTTGGGTGCACGGGAGTGGAGCATAAAAGTTCAGTGAAGGTTTCAGAGCTGTTGCGCAGCAAGTTCGAATTCCCCTAGCCAGCACCGAGACCGACCAAGAGGGATTCCTATTAATATAAGGAGGTGGTTTGAAGGTCCAGACAGTGGTGATTGGATACTGGTTATTGACAACGCCGGCAACGAGGAGGACTTTATCGGCAACAGCGGTCCAATCTCCAAATTTGTACTATAAAGCCAAAGGGGTACTCTGATATTCACCACAAGATCGCTCCGGGTTGTATCCTGGTAGCATTGCGAAAGGATCGAGGTCGGGAAGATGGCGGAGGAGGAAGCTAGGGTATTGTTTTCGAAACACCACGGTAACTGGAGCAGTCTGGAAGAGGAAGAAAAAAGGGCCGTCGCATTGATCTTGGGGTCTCTGCACCACATCCCGCTGGCTATCGTAGGAGCGGCAGCCTTCATGACCGAAACCCAGACACCGCCATCCACTTACTGGACCATTTTCCAGGGAAGCGACGAACAAGCCAGAAGACTACTTTCACAGCGGTTTTACGATATCCAACGAGAGGCGGATATGGCCGAAAGTATCCTAACTACGCACTTTGTCACCTTTGACCGAACCACGCGGCAGATGCCCCTAGCGGCCGAACTTCTGCGTTTGGGTTACTTCTTCGATCGCCAGAACACCCCCGAGGAGCTATTGAATCAAAGTGGTTTGGTAGGGGTGGATGATCCAATCGAGTTTCGTCGGGCCATTGGAAAGCTGTGGGGATTTTCGCTCGTTACGACTGTCAAAACTCATAACAAGACATTTTACGAGCTTCATCGTTTGGTCCAACTGTCTTTACACGTGTATTTACCAACAGAGGAGTTGAACCTATGGAAGGCTACTGCGCTGAGAGTGGTTTCAAGGTTGTTCCCTCGGAATCGGAACATGTAGGTTCTGAATACATTCCACATGTACTTGTAGTTACCAAACATTCCACGGATCCTATTGCCGAAGAGCTTTGTTTTCGCCTGGGACGCTACTTTATAGATATGGGCTTCTACAATGACCCAGAGGTTCAATTGCGTCGATGTATAACGCTGCGCGAAGGGCGTAAAGAGTATGACTGGGATGAGGAAGGTGCAAGAAGGGTCAAACTCCTGGGGATGGTAAGCACATATCAGGGAAAGGCAGATGTGGCCGAGAAGATATTACGGGATTTATTGCAGGATATTGAGGGATTATTGGGCCCAGATAATCCTATCGTCCTGGCCACTTTCCTCTGCCTGGGTCTGGTGCTACAATAGTGTGGAAAGTATGGTGGGTCGGGGGCGGTGAATCGGCGTGCACTGGAGGGTTGCGAGAAGCTTCTTGGACTAGACCACCCGGACACCCTAACAAGTGTCAACAACCTAGGAAGTGTGCTAGAATCCCAAGGAAAGTACGATGAATCAGAGGCGATGAATGGGCGCGTACTAGAGGGGCGCGAGAAGATTCTTGGACCAGACCACCCAGACACCCTAGTAAGTGTTATCAACTTCGCTAGCGTGCTTCAAAGCCAAGGAAAGTACGAGGAATCAGAGACGATGTACCGGCGTGCACTCGTGAGGTGCGGGATGATTCTTGGACCAGACCATCCCACCACCGAAGTAAGTGCCAACAACCTTGATGCGGTGCTCCAACTCCAAGGAACGTGTAAGAATTCCTTGACGGTTGAGCAGCGTGAAGGGCCGACGCCACCAGGAAACCCAGTGGATACGTAACCACAATTTGCTCGCCATATTGTCAGTTATTTGCGCGGGGGAGAGTAGTCTCCCGCGGGGGAGACAGCTCGACATAGCGGCCATCACACTATAGGGAGTTTGACTGTTGGGGTTCACCGCTGCTCGCAGGAATATTTTCGGAAATCTTGTGGTCCCCCGACTTCAAGATTTTTGTATTTCTTTTGTGTTTCGTCTATGTTTTATGCTGTTTGGGGGTATTTTATAGCGAGAGGGAATCAGTTGGTATTACTCGGAGGTTCTCGGTTTTTGTGGCTCCCAGATATCTACCTGAAGTGCGAAGCAAAGGAGCTTGGGCTATGAGGAGATCGGTGATTTAAGGTTTAGCAGTGTGATGCCGAGACTGGTTGAGGAGGAAGTTTAATCCGGATCTGTTACCCTAGTACCGCCAATCGGGGGATATAGCTGGAAAGCAGCTAGACTCATATCCGGCAGAAGAGGTCTTATGGAGAAACTATGTCCTTGGGAGGAGAGAGCCATGTTTTTTATATCAACTGATACTCTGCTGGGTAAATGGATAGCAGGTAAAAACGGTGCCTGAACAGCAAAGAATGAAAGCCGCTCTATTTTCTTCACTTCTACACTTCTCATCCAGCTCCTGTGGGCTACCCATTTCAATAGGCTAGACTAGTGGTGACAGGAGTGGGCTACTACTACTACTAGATCCAACCGGTGGGAGTGAGTGTAGGGCTCTACAGGGGGTAACAACGGCAGACCGTGCAGGACTAGGAAGAATGACAAGTTAGAGATGCCATGAGTGGCGAGCTCTTGAATGTAGTGCGGTACGGGGGCATCTTTGGGCATCTTTGATATTTCAAATTCTATCCCTCCCTTTCTCTTTTCGAGATATGGAGTAATATATTCTTATACTTTCTCACCCGATAAGCTTCTTGCGGTCAGCTCCTCGACTCCCCGGAATCATGAAGAGTCACTCGCCCGTTATTACCTAGGTTGTTTAGTGACCCTACAGGCCAAAACACACCAAAAGTGACGGTTTTCGAGCTATTATTACACAACAACCGTGAGCAGAAACAGCGTGGGGGAGAAATTTTTCAAAAAGCAAATCTTCTACAATAGTACACACATAAAAATGAGTGTGATTTTCCCCCTTTAATCTTGAGTTTTGAGGTGTGGAATGTTCATCCCTGTAGGGTACCTGACAGGACGAAGGGTTTTGTATGGGAAACGTACTCGCTCGTTCGTTTGTTATGCGGACAGTCTGTACCCCTAACCCTCCCATACCACAAGGAAGAAAAAAATGCATGCCCTCTTAGGAAAAAAAGGAAGGATTCTCACCAGCTCAATTACCCCTTCATGTCCTAAATATACTCTTAATAGGCAATTATTTAGTAATTTTCACTTTCTTCACCGTGGAGGGTGTTGTAAAGTCAGAGATTGGTGGGTTAGGGTTGTGGGCTGTCCGCACACTAAATGAACGAGCTAGAACATCGCAACCAACCTTACCCAGTTCATGTGCCCACGGTTCTCTACAAACAAGAGAAAATAATAATAATCCAAAACAAATGTATATTATACTTCAGACATGTCAAACTTTTACTTTTTTGTTCTTCAAGGCCGAGTTTTTGGATATCTGTGGAGTTATTGTGACATCAAACCCTGCAAATTTGGTACGTTCTGGCCTCTGTCTGGTTACTAAACGACCTCTAGTGTCATTCAACCAGGCATAATAAATGCCATAATGCAATTCTACATTACCTGCCTACCCCCCCCCCCCATACATTGCCTAGTTACTAGGCCTGGTTTGAATGGAGTGGAATAAATCAGGAAGACCACTCCACTACATATCTCACCTGAATAACCCGATTGAGCGTGCCTGGGTTTAACTTATTGATGGCTTCATAAGCAGTGCCCTGATGTCGTGGGCACTGAGGGTGGTTCTGATAAAGCATGCAATTAGTTTGCTTAGGTTTTATCACTCATATGAGATATTGTACCAGATAGCTTTGGGGGTTTCCGGGAGCCGGCACCTCCTCCGGTGACTGCTGTGATAGAATCTAAGAAGTGGTATACAAAATACTAGGATCTAGAATGGTGTTCTATATTTAACCCTTCTTCTCTGGACTGTGATTTTTAGTATTGTTTATCACCGCTGTCGGATTGCCCAACTTGCGCAATCACAATAGCCTACAGGTATAGGCACAGACTCGGTCTCAAAAAGCTCAATCACCACGACTATTGTCTTGTCACTGTACCACTATAGTACATGCCTAAATAACTAGCCACCTTCCGTAGATAGGACGGCCCATTTCTCCACACCTCCGAACCCTAACGCGCCACCCTGCAAATTCACCACCACCAACCGGCCCTTGCTCGCTTGAAACTGTGGGAACCGGCATTACTAGGAATTGCCTTGTTTGATATGATAGCTACGAGTTAGTCTAGTGGTGGATTTAGTTGAAGTTTGTTGCCTTCATCTCCTAGTTTAACTCTGCTAGCAGCTATCCCACGATTTCGAGATCGACCAACCAGGATTTATCTGCCCACCCAGATGCTGGGAACTGCCAAGTACCGCAATTTACTCGTACTGTTGTATAGGTAGGCTCTCGCTTTGAGCCATCCGAACCACATAGGTAGAGCCCAAATAATTGTCCCCCAGGTGCGGACTTTATGTAACGGGTGCGGAATAATGACTCTGTGACGTGGACATATCTCCCCGACCCGGTAAATTTGGGTTGTGAGTATATAGGGCGGGGCGATCGGTAGAGGGAGGGCGGGGCCAATGCGAGTTTCGGAATTGTAATATTTCTAGTATAGTTAGAGGCACCTGCGGTTGGCTGTCGAGGTGAAAGCTCCCCCTCGTTGATTGTCTGGTTGGCAATATAGCATTAAGTATCGTGTAGATGGGGAAAGTGAAACTTCGCATTGTGGCCTCATACCAATGCAGGCGGCTCATGATATGGTAATACAAACTCGCGTTTTGGGCTCTGGCATCAAACATGCGGCTCTGTAGGATAATGTTGCTAAGTTTTTATTTCTGGTACGGTACATGATTGCGGGATTACGCCCGATAGATATATCTACCACGTGAAGTATGGTAAAGTGGTTGCGCTTGATAAGAAGATAGCGGTGGATTGGCTGGGACCCCACGAAATTCTCGTGGTGTGCCGTACTCGAGTACAATAATACCATAGGATAGCCTAACCGTACGGGACGAACATTGGCGATGCAACCTGTTACCCACCCGATCCTGTAGACCAGAGCGGGATGGCAGAGCTAGCCTTTTTATGATGCATGGCCTGCCCCTAGGATTTGCATGACAGGGGAGGTCCGGGCGGGCCGAAGGGGAAGGGGACCTCGGAGCGGGGGCTGTGGCCAAGTGAGTTTGGGGTGGAGGTGAGCTCCAGTTAATGGCGGAATGAGGGGATGCACCAAGAATGATACAAGGAACCGGGATCGGTTTTTCGAACAACGGAGAGAGTTCTATGAGAGAACCCTTCCTGGGGAAAAAAGCATCATAAGTTAAGTTACACGGGAGTCTCATGAGTATTGGGGAATTTGTACTGGTTCTGGGGTTCTCTGAAGGCGCGAAACCTTGGCGCTAGGAACCCCCGAATATATTGAAATTCGCTACGGGTAGTATTCCTCATTTTTCCCGAAGGCAACACGCATGCTGGACTCAAATTTGTAGTAAATTCCTACGCCTTATTCTACCGCTTTTGCTTAATGTATACTGAGGCACAAAGGCGCCAGCCTTGGTGAATCCCCACCTTCTAAAGCCCAGTTCAACCTGCCTCCCCTCTAGCTCCCGGGTTCTATCACCAGAGGTCCTCTTCCCAACAATGCCTCGAGTCTCGTGTCGCTAGAGGTGTCGGCTGAAGAAGCGCCCGCTTCAACGAGTAGTAACTGCTAAAAATGGTCGAACGCTATGAAGGCTTTCCACCCGTGGTGCCTATGTTCGCTATCATCCAACTACCAACCCGATGTAATAACTCCTATAGAGTCTGTATCCCGTGAGAGGGATAAACGGGCTTGGCGCTCTTTTTTAGCATTATGTTGACATTCACAGTTCCCCAAATATCTATGTACCGTACTCACGCAACGACATGTGCATCTAGACTTCGGATAATTTATGCCCGTTCCGTACTTGCGATGTGAAAGGACCCTTGCTGGGACAGCGGAAAATGGCTTGTGTAGGCCTGAGGATTTTAGGGCGGTGGGATGGAGGGACTCTGCAAGGAACCTGGAAGGGGATAGGAACTGGCTTCACATTTTTCATTACTACCGACCCTTGCACGATACTCGTAAAAAAAGTGTGAACTATCGTACCCCCTTCGGTTTAAATTTGAATGGTTCTTCGTTGAGGGGGGCAGCAGGAGCTCACCCGTATTGGCACAATATCATGATTTGCGTTGCCGAAGCCTACTGTATTTACTTGATATTTATCGATACCGTAATGTTCTAGCCTCGTGCGACCAGAAATTCCACCCCTCACATTTCCATTGGGAATTCCTAGCGGGGCGCCCTGACTTAAGCCGGATAGCTTTCATGGGATTTATCAAACCAGATTTATGATCGGTACGGCACTCGAGTAAGTTAGAGGAGTCTTGTCTCGCCTCTTTTTGCAATATTATGCGCCAGCTCAGACTTTACATGCCTGAACGGTTCATTTCACGATGAAGCTGGGGCAACCTTAAGCTGCCAGGAAATGATGCTATTTGCATGGCCTATTCCAAGGCGGGATCAAACAGCCCTCTTCGTGTAACGAGTACTCGAGTACTCAAGGATCGGCAGCATATGGGGGGATCAATTCGATATTCTTAGAAGCTCTGGCTGATTGGGTACGAAGATTCCAAAATGCGCGGCTACTGTAGCATGCAGGAAAATGCTCTGCAGTCAGCAGGTGCTCGAGTACAGTTGTTGTGAAATGTGACTGAGCGTCTCATTTATCATGCGGCTGAACGAGACATGCGTAAAATGGTACTCGCCAGTCAAACTGCGACTGGTGCCTAATCGATCAGTGTTGCATTCCCAAACTGCAGCAGACAGCCAACACACTAGTGTTACAGCACCGTACGGTACTGTCCGCTTTTCTCCAGCCTCTCACCCGCGCGGACTTCTAACACTTCTGATTTCCGGAGATTGAGTTTCAATCACTCCAGCTGTCCCAAGACTTGGTCGCTTCGCTCCTATACCCATTCACTGCCCTTAACACAAATCTTTTCGGCTTCGCCAAATCCAAAGAGCCTGAGCAGGATTCCCTCCCCTACCAGCAGCTACCTCGGGACTAGAGGGTTATTCGACCCCACATCGAAGGGTGCGTCCTCAGTTGCCCGTTCTACCGTATGTCGCGGTATTGTCTTGTTTCGAGGTTTGGGAAAAGATTTTAGGCTGAATATAGGCTATCAAACCCGTTTCGGACACGATAGCGACATCATATTACTTTTCCTACCTGGCCTTTGAAGACAGCCCGTGAAGTGAGCTGAATACCGGATGGATCGGTGGGCTCCCCTTCCCTTTAATGTCTGTAATAATCACAAGTAGTCGGCTAATAATGTTCTCAGAAAAAAACAAGGCCATGTTAGGGGAGACTTTAGTGGAAACTCAGGGGATCATAATGTTTTTGGTAGTTTTAATAGTAATAACGCATACACGAGTTACCTCAACAGTGCTTCCAATCACGGAACGATATATCAAGGATGTGTATTTGGAGCTGAGGGGAGAGGTACTACCGATTTTCCCGCGAGATTTCAGACAAAGAACTAATGTGTTATCACAAGTGGAAGGAGAAACTGGGCCTTACCGGATAATCCCCTATCGCAGAAATAGCAGGTTCACTGGGCGCGAAGATCTCCTTGAGTCGATAAAGAGAATATGCAGCCATAACGATCATACCCGGATCGCACTTCATGGGCTCGGCGGTTCTGGGTATGCGTTCATTATCGTTACTGTTATTTCGGGGGATTACTAACATTGTTTAGAAAAACTCAGATTGCCCTGGAGTATGCCTATCAACGTGCAAGCGAGGTCGATTGTCATGTTTTCTGGGTGCAGGGGAGTGGGGTATTGAAATTTATTGAGGGTTTCAGAGCGATTGCACAACATGTTCGAATTCCACTAGTCAGTGCTGAGATGGAGCAAGAGGAATTACTATCTAGTATAAAGAGGTGGTTTGAAGGTCCAGATGGTGGTGATTGGATACTAGTTATCGACAATGCCGACAACGAGGAGGACTTTATTGGCAACAGTGGTTCTATCTCCAAATTTGTACCACAAGGCCAAAGGGGTACTCTTATAATCACCACCAGATCATTACGAGTTGTATCGTGGCAGGATTGCGAAAGGGTTGGTGTTGGGGAAATGGGGGAGGATGAATCCACGGCATTGTTTTCGAAACGCTATGGTAACGGGAACAGATTAGGAGAGGAAGAGAAGGAGGCCATCGCATTGATCTTGGGCTCCCTGCACCGCATCCCGCTGGCAATTGTAGGAGCGGCAGCCTTCATGACAGAAACCCAGACATCGCCCTCTGAATACTGGAACATTTTCCGGGGAAGCGACGAACAAGCAAAGAGACTCCTTTTGCAGCCGTTTTGTGACATACAACGAGAGGCGGACATGACCGAAAGTATCCTAGCCACGTACTTTATCACCTTTGACCGAATCACACGGCAGATGCCCCTAGCGGTGGAGCTTCTACGTTTGATTGCCTTCCTCGATCGTCAGAACATTCCTGAGGAGCTATTGAATCAAAGTGGTTTAGGAGGGGCGGATGATCCAATCGAGTTTCGTCAGGCCATTGGAAAACTTTTGGGATTTTCACTAGTTACGACTGTCAAAACTCATAACAAGACGTTTTACGAACTTCATCGTTTGGTCCAACTGTCTTTGCAAGTGTACTTACCAACAGAGGAGTTGAATCGATGGAGGGCCACTGCGCTCGGAGTTGTTTCAAGGCACTTTCCTTGCCATTGGAACACGTGGAGAGACGTTAGTTCTGCATACATGCCACATGCGCTTGCTGTGACCAAAGATTCAACGGATCCTATCGCCGAAGAGCTTTGTTTTCGCCTGGGACGGTACTTGATGGATATGGGTTTCTACAACGACGCAGAAGCTCAATTGCGTCGATGTATCGCACTGCGGGAGGAGAGTAAAGAGTGCGACTGGGATGGGGAAGGTCCGAGGAGGGTCACACTACTAGGGAGGGTAAGCGCATATCAGGGAAAAGCAGATGTGGCCGAGAAGATACTTCGGGGTCTATTGGAGGATATTGAGGGATCATTGGGCCCAGATAATCCTATTGTCCTGACCGCTTTCCTCGACCTGGCTCTGGCGCTACAACAGCGTGGAAAGTACGATGAATCGGAGGCGGTGAATTGGCG